CCTCCGACCTTCTGCGAGCCTTCTGTCGTGCGGAGGGCATCCGCCAGACGTTCACGCTTCCAGTTTCTCCGCAACAAAATGGGATTGTTGAGCGCCGCATTGGCATGGTCATGGACGTCGCTCGTACGTCCATGATCCATGCGGCTGCTCCCCATTTTCTGTGGCCGTTCGCGGTTCAGTACGCGGCGCATCAGATCAACCTCCAGCCCCGGGTCTCCATCCCGGAGACCACAGCTACTCTGCGGTGGACGGGGAAGGTTGGCGATGCGTCTTCGTTCTGTGTCTGGGGATCTCGAGCTTTTGTCCGCGACTTGTCTACGGACAAGCTGTCCTCCCGTGCTGTTCCCTGCGTCTTTCTTGACTTTCCCGCTGACGTGCCTGGTTGGCAGTTTTACCACCCCACCTCGCACCGTGTTCTGTCCTCTCTGGACGTCACGTTTGATGAGTCGGTTCCTTACTACCGTCTCTTCCCCTACCCCACTGCCCCCCTCCCCCCCCCGCCGCTCTTCCTCACGCCAGGTCCTCCCCCGGTAGACCCCCTCCCCCGTCAGGATCCTGCCCCCTCAGGTGTGTCCCAGGTATACGCAGTCGAGCCTGTCGAGGTAGCAGTTGACTCTGGTGCTGCTAGGGGTGCTGAGCCTGTGGATGCCGGGTCTGGGGGTGCTGAGCCTGAGTGTGCGGAGCCTGGGGGTGCTGAGTCTGGGGGTGCTGAGCCTGAGGGTGCTGAGCCTGGGGTTGCTGAGTCTGGGGGTGCGGAGCCTGGGGGTGCTGCGCCTGCGCGTGTGGAGTCTGGAGGTGCTGAGCCTGGAGGTCCTTTGGGTGCTTCGTCCCGGCGGGAGCCACTCTCTCCACAGCAGCTGCGTGAGTGGTTTGCTCGACGCTGGAGCTGTGCTGCTGGAGCTGGTGGTGCTACGGGCGCTGGAGGTCCTGCTGCTGCTGGAGCTGCTGGGGGTTCTAGAACCACTGGTCCCGGAGGTGCTCGTACTGGAGGTACTGGAGCTACTGGGTCTAGTGGTGCCGCTGGAGCTGGAGCTACTAGAGGTGCTGACTCTGGTGGTGCTGCTTGAGCAGATGCTGCTGGAGGTGCTGGGGCTGGCGCTGCTGGAGCTGCTGGAGGTGCTGCGGGAGGTGTTGGAGGTGCTGCTGGAGCTGGTGGTGCTACTGGAGTTGGAGCTGCCGTTGGGGGTGCTAGTGCTGTCCCTGCTGGTTCTGGGGGCGCTGAGCGGCCACGACCGTACTTCGATCCGCTCCTTGAGCAGGTTCTTGGTCTCCCGCCTTCTGCTGGTCGTGCTCCTTAGAGTGTTCACCTGTCCAGTCGCAGTCACAGCTACAGCCCGCCTCCCCACTGCCTGCTCCTTCTCCTTACACCGGTCCGACCGGAGGTCTTGCTGAACTTTGTGAGCCTGCGTCTCGTCCTGCATCGCCTGTTCGTGCTGCTCGCACTGGTCGTCGTGGTCCGCGTCCGCGTCCGCGTCCTCCTCTTGTCCCTGGCACGCACCAGATCACTCGGGACAGAGCACGTCGCACCATCACCCTGACTCAGTCACACATGGTGCAGCAGGTCCTTCAGCGCTTCGACTTCCAGTACTCCTCGCCACAGTCCACTCCTCTGCCTACCGGTCACTCGCTCTCAGCTCTGCCTTCAGATGAGTCCATAGAGCCGAGTGGCCCGTATCCAGAGCTTGTGGGCTGCCTCATGTACCTGATGACCTGCACTCGTCCTGACCTTGCTTACCCTCTTAGCATCCTGGCACGCTACGTTGCGCCCGGGAGACCTGGACCAGAGCACTGGAAGGCAGCTAAGAGGGTGATGCGCTACTTGTGCAGTACGTCGGGCATGGGGCTCGTGCTTGGGGGACTAGGTCCAGTTATTCTCACTAGTCACGCAGACGCTTCTTGGGTTGACGACTTGGCTAAGCAGCGGTCGTCACAGGGTTACACCTTCAGCCTTGGCTCCAGTTCTGTCTCGTGGCGGTCTACCCGCTCGTCTTCTGTTCTCAGCTCCAGTTGTGAGGCTGAGATCTACGCAGGGGCCATGGCTGCACAGGAGCTACGCTGGCTCACCTACCTGCTGACCGACCTGGGCGAGGCGCCTCGTTCTCCTCCAGTTCTGTACGTCGACAACAAGGCAATGCTTGCCTTGTGTCGCGAGCAGAGATTGGAGCACAGAACGAAGCACATCGCTCTTCGCTACTTCCTTGCTCGAGAGTTACAGCAGCGTGGTCAGCTTCGTCTTGTTTACGTGGCCTCTCAGGCCAACACTGCTGATATCTTCACCAAGGCACTTCAGCCTTGTGATCATCAGCGGTTCTGCACTGTTCTAGGCCTTGTTCCCACTTGGCCTCACTTGCTCACTTCTTGACTTTACTTGTACTGTGATCTCTATATATATTCCTGCCTGCCTACACTTGCTAGGTTGTGATCATTGTCTTGCATGTTCTGCTTTATATAACTCTGCATGTGAACTGGCCTTGTGGCCGCTGGCTTGTGCTCGGAATGTGTGGTGACCTCGTGATCCACCCTGAGCTTGCTTTGCTCTTCTTGACTGGTCTTGTGACCTCTTGTTCTCCCCCACTTTGCCTATGGGGGTGTGTCAAACTTATATGCTATAGTCTGTGTAGGTTGTAGCGGGGTAGATAATATGGGGTACAGCACTTATAGGGTTTCCTACTTGTACCCACCTGTTTCCTAGTGTATTCATTCCTCGTACTTTTCTCACAGTCGCGCATATCAAGAGGGACATATGTGCCCACCATGTCGCAAACCCGCAGCTGCGCCACGTCGATCTTGCTCGCTGGTGTTTCACTCGCTTCGGCATTAGGCCCGACCGCTCGACGATCGGGCGCGTGCTGAAAGATTCTGAGCGATGGGCCGCAAATCCGACGAACAACCATACCGCGCGCGTCCAGGGCGGCGCACACCCGGAACTGGAGCGAGCTATGGCTCGCTTGATTGCCAACGCAGGGCCGGCTGGCATCCCTCTTGTCAGAACGTTATGGCATCCCTCCCCCATAACTGCCTGCAGCAGGAGTTTGTGCAGAACACAACCTGCAGGGGTATACCAGCAACAGCAACAGCAGGTACGGTAACAGAGCAGGTACAGCAGCAAAGGGACAGGCGGCAGCAAGAAATTCCTGCCACCCCCTTACTCTCTTCCCCCCCCAACCACAGGAGGGGCAGCAGGGAGAGTGAGGAGGCGGGCTGGCTCTGGCTGGTCACCCCCTCCATTTCCTCACCCTCCCCCTCCCCCTCCCCCCCACACTGCTGCAGGAGCAGCAGAGGGGGGAAGAGAGGAGAGGTGGAGGGACGGCTGCTGGTTGGTCTCACACCCGCCACCCCAGTGCCACTCCCCCGGCTCCCCCACACCCTCACACCCTCCCCCCCAGCGGCAGCTGCAGCAGTGGGAACGAAAGGAGGAGGAGGGGAAGGGAAGCACACCACCCATCACCCCAACACCCGCCACCCCCATACCCTCCCCCCCACGGCTGCAGGGAGACGAAGGAGGAGGGGGTGGGCGGGGAGAAAGCCGCAGAGCGGCTACAGAGGGTCGGCGCGGGTAGGTCAGGGGCGGCTGCAGTGAGTGCAGGCGCGGGTTGAGGCAGAGGCGGCTGCACCGAGTGCAGGAGCGGGGGCGGCTGCTCCAAGGGCAGGCGCCGGGTGGTGCAGGGGCGGCTGCAGCGAGTGCAGGCGCGGGTGAGGCAGGGGCACCGCCGAGTGCGCCAGGGGCGGGTACGCGGCGGCTCAGGACAGCGTCGCAGGCGCCAGGGGCGGTTCCGCGGCGGCTCAGGGCACCGTCGCGCACCACGGGGCACGTGACGAGCAGTTTAGGGCACCGTCGCATGCCACGGGGCGCACGACGGGCAGGGCACCGTCGCGTGCCACGGGGCGCATGACGGGCAGGGCACCGTCGCGTGCCACGGGGCGCACGACGGGCAGGTTTAGGGCACCGTCGTGTGCCACGGGGCGCACGACGGGCAGGGCACCGTCGCGTGCCACGGGGCGCACGACGGGCAGGGCACCGTCGCGTGCCACGGGGCGCGCGACGGGCAGAAAAGATGTCACTCGCCACCCGGGGGCGGGACAGGACGAAAATCGCCACGCGCCCGAGGCGCGCGACCGGAAAAAACAGCAGCGGAAGCGTGAGGCGGGCCCACAGGCCAGGACGTAACTCGCTCTAATGCCATGTTGAGTTACTAAGTAAGAGTAAGCTTAGGTTTTAGGTAGGGCCTAGGCTTAGTAGCCTAGGCCTAGGGGAAGTCGAGGAGGTTGTGCCAAGGTGAGAGTCGAGAATGGGAAAAGTGATGTTCACTATAGCACTAGGGTACATATAGTAAACAGAGCATGCAAAGAAGGTGCACCACCAACAGTTTATAATAACTACACTAAACTACAGCTACAGGCAGTTACATATAAATTCTAACACCTCTCGCGCTGGTTCGCGACCATGTCGCACACATGGCACGTGGCATGGACTTGCCGGCGACATTCCGCTGCTCATTCGGTTGGGTACGCCGTGCATTGCGCCATCAGGGTGTCCGCTACCTCAGCGTTGTCGGCGAGGCGGCAGACCAGGACATGGCCACCGTGCGAACCACTCGCGAGAAGCTTCCGCAGTTGCTCATGCATCTTTCGGTTCGGGCGAAGGACACTTACAATTTCGACGAAACTGCGTTGTACATCTCCGTGCTGCCTCGTAATACTTACGGCAACGGACGCATGGCGGGTCGGAAGGTGCCCAAGGATCGCCTTACCGTCGGCTTCCTTGTCAACGCCGACGGTTCGCATTCGTTCCGCCCTCTGGTCATTTCGAAAGCCAAGCGGCCCCATGACTTCTGCCCCGTTCATGGTCCTGACGAGGTCTGCTATTGGCGCAGCAATGCAAAGGGCTGGATGACGACCCCGGTGAGTACATGTCGAGTTAACCTATCATGTAAGCTTCGATAATGTGATTTACTCTTGGCTGCATTCAATATGTTGTTTATAACTTCGTGTCCAATGATATGCCGAGTTTAAGTATTCCCATGTCACCCCCTTCTTTACCGTCCGCTGTAATGCAGGTTTTCACCCACTTCATGGAGCAGCTCAATGCTGCCATGTACGCCGAGGGCATGAGCATTGTCATCCTGATGGACAATGCGAGCAGCCACGTGCTCAAGTCAGAAGGGGCCAAGTCGGAGGACCTCTTTGGCTTCTGCACGTGCAAGCTCAGCAACATCCGCATCGTGTACATGCCGCCGAACACCACCTGCTTCACCCAGCCCCTCGATCAGGGAATCATTGCGACGGCGAAGGCGGGGTACCGTGCATCTTGGTTGAGCACCTTCACTGCGCTCTGGACGGAGAACAGCGCAACGTCCGCGATGGCTCGGTTCAAGCCGAACCTCCGCGACGTTCTGGCCTGGCTGTGTGACGCTCGGATGAACATCGAGCGTCGCACCATTCAGCGGTGCTGGTGGCGCACCGAGTGCCTCCCGCTTTCGTAGGCAATGGAACTTGAGCACGTGGGCAACGGCGGCAGCGGTGCCGCCAACACCGAGCTCGATGAGGCAGTGGGCGACATGGGGATCCTCATCGTTCGCCTCGGCATTGGGTCGTCCGCGATGCCGGCGGTGGACTTCGTGCGCATCGACGACAACCAGCCGACGTGCACAGAGCCAGGCGAAGACCCGGTGGCGACTGAGCCACCGTCTGCACCAAGTGCCGAGATGTGGGAGGCCCCGGCCAGCATGCAAGCCGTCTACGACGACGGCAATCCAGCCACCCGCGAAGCACGGTGCTACACACGCGCCGCAAGCGAGATGCTCGTCGGCTACGAGAGGGCCACCGGCATCATGTCGCGTGACCTTTGCGCACTATTCGACATCCGCAACCCCATCGTCAGTTGCAAATGAGCGTACTGTTGGACAGTTTCGAGTTCAAGATTCTTGAAAGTTTCGCAAAAGACAAAAGAGCCAGAAGCTGAGTTGGATTGAAGATCACCCTGAAAGTCCTACACTGCGCTCCGTGGGAAAAAACTAAAATGTTACAAATTACTTTGTAGCATTTACGATTGAAATTAGGATTACTAAAAAACAATGCCTTTCACTACTGCGGCGGATAGTTGACAGTAATGTTCAATACAAAATGGACAACCATCCGACAGTAGATAAAATAAAGGACATAAATATAAGCGAGGGTTAATGATTCCTAAATAAGCTCCTCTAAAGCACCTGGTTGCCAATCATCACTCGTCCGGTTCACAACACAAGCGTGAATTGAAAGGTGAGTGGTGGTGCTGCACATGCACGTTGTGGGGGCACAAGTTGGGTGCGATGTGTGAAAACCCTGCATTGGGAAACGGGGGAGCGGACATGGGCAATGAGAAATTTTATGAGAGGAAATAGGGTAGGGATGGGAAGGGCAGAGATGGAAGGGAAGAGTGGGGCGGATAGAGGTGGAAAGGGAGTACAGAACTTGGGAGTGAAGGAATTAGAGGGCAAGGGGGGAAAAGGATGAGCAGAGAAGAGAGGGAAGGGAACGACGGGGCCAGTAGAGAGGGAAGGGAGGAGGGGCGAAGAGAGAGGGGCAGTGAGGGAGGGAAGGAGAGGCGAAGAGGGGGAAAGGAGGAAATGAGAAGGAAGGGAAGAAGGGAGAGGGGGGGTAAGAGAGGGTTCAGGGAGAGAAAGGAGGGAAGGGAGGAGGAGGTGTGTGAGGATAAGGGTGAAAAGAGTGAAGGGAGAGGAGGGGAGTGTTTGAAAATTAGGTTACGGGGGGAAAAGAGGAGGGACCGAATGAAAGAAGAGGAAAGGAGAAAATTGGGCAGGAACAGAACGGAGGAGATAAGAAAAATGGGGAAGGGAGGGGAAGGGAGCGATGAGTGTGAGTGAGTGATGGGTGTGAGTGAGCGATGAGTGTGAGTGAGCGATGGGTGTGAGTGTGCGATGGGTGTGAGTGAGCGATGGGTGTGAGTGAGCGATGGGAGAGAGGAAGGGACAGCAGGGACTGACGGGCAATCAGGATACGAAAAAAGGGCAAGAGAATGAGTGGAGAGGCGGAAAAGGGATGGATGGAAGTAGGAAAGACGGGACGGAAGAGAGGGGAAAGAGGGACGCGAGACTGGGTAAGTTGAGGGATTGGAGGGTTGGAACTGCGAGATGGGAAGGGAGAAGCCCCGAGTAGGGAAGGGGGGAACTGCGCGTAGGGAAGGGGGGAAACTGCGTGTAGGGAAATGGGGGGAATGCGCGCATGGAAGGGGGGAAATGCGCGTAGGGAGGCGGGGTGGCTGCACGTAGGGAAGGGGGAGAAAAAAAAAGGGCAGGAAGGCGAGAGGCGGAAAGGGACGGGATGGACCGAAGGGAAGAGAGCGACGTGGGCGACAGGAGGAGCGGAAGCGACGGGAGTGACAAGAGGGGCGGGAGGGATGGAAGCGACGAGAGGGACAGGTGGGACGGGAGGGATGGGAGGGATGCGAAGAGAGACGGGAGGGACGGTAGGAGCGGGAGCGAAGGGAGGAGTGGGGGCGACGGGAGGTGCAGGAGAGGCGGGAGGAGTGCGAGCGGGAGCGACGGGATGGAAAATCGTGGGCGACGCTTAGAGAAAGCATGGGCGAGGGGCGAGGGAAAGAAGCGCCTTGAAAAAGGCGACGGGAGGGGGAGCGTAATCGCTACCGCGGCGAATGGACCGTCACGTACCGGGTCGAGTCCGTTAACTATATATGGTATGGTTGTCGCGCTTGCGGTTCTAGTGACGTGTAGGGTGCTTGTGACGGTGGCTATGGTGCTCGTAAAATATTCGCGCTCATCGCATGATGCGGGCCATCAGATTGAGTGAGACTGGATGGACGATAATGACCGATACATCACATCTAAGGAAGACTAAGCCTACCAGGGTGACGCGTAGTTATTCATGGGCTAGACAACCTATTCCGAGTAGGTAGGCGGTCGTGAAGGGGAGGGAGCGACGGATTAGGCTTACAATGTCGGAGAAAGGGAGTGAAGCTTCTAACGGGAACGACGATAAGGGCTAGAGTTACGGAAAGGACGGGCAGGATTGCGTGTGCTGGAAGAGAACTACGATAGTTCACGCTATGGAGCCTACTAGGTATTGAGTCTATTATGGTGAGAGTTGGCTTCAAGTTTCCGGAAGTATGAACAGTGACCCGTTCGTTGGGTTTCTGTGCGGAAGTGTTGATCGTTTTGCCAGGGTTGGTTTCAACAAATCAGAAACTCACCGTTGGAAACAAACTCTTAGGTCGCGATGTCAGAGGTCCACTAGTGATCCTCGATTGATCCTAGGGAAGGGTTACAGGCCGTCGACCAGGAGGGGCAGTTCGACCGGGAGGTCGACGGAGCAGTCCGTCGACCTGACAAGTGAGCAGCGGTCGACGAGGGGAGCTCGGCGACAACCGCTGACGGTTCTGGTCGACGGAAGGGGTCCGTCGACCAGGGGGTAACTCGACAGGAGTTGTGGTCGACCAGAGGGACCTGGTGGTCGACCAGAAGCAGTGGTGGTCGACCGGAAGCACCTGGTGGTCGACCGGGTAACCCGCTCGACGAGTTTTGCGGAGGCACACGAACGTCGTCGAGGTCGCGATGGCGCAGGCGACTTCGGGCTCGTATCCCGAAGTCGATGTGGCTCTTCAGGCGCAGACAACAGCCGACGGATGCCCAACGAGGCAAGTCGGGCCAATCGTCTGCGCGCACGTGCGAGCGTGCGTACTGCTGTGTTCTACGGGGCAACGCTGGACAGCCGCTTTGCTGCAGCGTTGGCACGCCGTCGACCTGCTCTGTTGACAGGTCGCCCTTCTGCAGTGCTGGCGCGGCTCCTCTACGCGACGCTGGCAGGCGGTCGACCAGGCTAGCTGCAGGATTGCTAGGTGCCTGATGTAGTCATTGTTGCCATCACTTGTTCAATCAATTCTGTAATTTCGACTTTGCCTAGTGAAAACTCTTGCCGATTACTCCCGTGAATGCGCAAGCACTAAGGAACTAAGCAAAGCGACGATCATCTCAAGTATTTCGTGCCAACCCCCGTAGTCTAGCTCACTACCGTTGTAGAGTGAATCTCCGCATGGTGCGGTGAGCGTGGATCGAACACGCGACCTTCACATAGGAGCCGACTTTTGCACCTACTAAGTCGTTCGTAGGCTGGCAGCAGCGATAGTCGCCATGGTCGACCCCGTAGTTGATGCGGGCGTAGCGGACACCTTGGAGGCACGTTTGGCTGACGCGAGGAGACGCGACGCGGATGGCGAGTACGGGACGATCCCCTTGGTGATCGCCAAGTTGGGCATCCGGTCGCAGTGGGCGACGGAACACCCTTCCCGTCCTGCTTCTCCTCGACCGGTGCGCAACGGAGGTGGCGTCGACAACGAGGTCGACGGTGGTGCACGAGCCAGCGGCAGCGAAGGCACGAGGCAGAGAGGGGTGATCAAGGTCGACGGTGGTGTCGACGGAATCCAGGCGCGAGTGCAGCGGTCGACGGCGGCTGCAGGCAGCTCGCGTGTCGACGTCGATGTTCGACGTCGCTCTCCTCTACGGAGCGGTGGAGGGCTCTCGGCGACGACGCATGTGACTGCAGGCGGGATTGCACCGGCGTATGGCTACTTCAACTTCTCGCCGGACCGGATCACCATCGCACCGCTGCAAGGTCGACGGGACCTCATCACCTCGAAGGAGTCGATCGAACCTCAGCTGGAGGTCGCCGGGCTGAAGGGCTTCGCCGACGGCACAGTGCCAATTCCGCCCGTGGACGATGTCGAGCTACGCGGGGAGTTTCGTGCAGCTCAATTGGTCACCTTCATGGTCATCTCGAGGTGCTGCTCGCCGGTGGTGCAGCTGACGCTCAGGAGCTGTCGAGAGCGACTGGATGCTGGTCACCAGGCATGGCACTTCATCTTGTCAACGTACCAGGTCAGGGACGACTTGTACATCAGACAACTGGAGGAGAAGATGACACATTTTCGGATGGGCGAGCAGGAGTCGGCGGCGGACTACTGCAACCGTGCTCGACGGATCTTGGCTGAGATGCGGATGGCGGGCGCCGAATACTCGACGCCTTCCTACATCACCCACATCGTCAAAGGCCTGCCGCGCAGCTACAATCTCATGAAGAGGATGATGATGGTGCCCGGCACACGTGAGTCCCTCGACGAGGACTCCATCACCGGTTACATCCTTCAAGATGAGGCGATGCAGGAGGCTGAACAGCCCACAGAGCTCCTTCCGCAGGTAAACTACGCTGCATCGACGAAGCGGAATCAGCAGCAAGGGCAGCGCGGGAAGCCGGGCGGAGGTGGTAGCGGAGGTGGGCGGTCGACGAAGGATGTCGACGAGAAGCGGTCGACGCAGGACAATGGTCGACGAGGTGGTGGTCGACGGCGGGAGTGCTGGATCTGCGGCGACCCCGACCATCTCTCCTTCGAGTGCCCCAACCGCGATGACAGCGACGAGGACGACAACAAGGGAGGTCGTGGTCGATCGGCCAGTCGTCGCCCCCATCGAGATGAGAAGCCGCGCAAGGAGAAGCAGGCGTCGAAGAAGACGTCGTCGACGAAGGACGTCGACACCTCCAGCGGCAAGGGCCGAGGCGACGGGGAGGCGTCGTGCTCGATGGTCGGCGTGGTGGAGCCGACGGTCTCGCTGGCGCCTGAGGCTGACGAGGACTTCCAGGCGGTGGCGGCAGCTGTGCAGGCCAACCCGATGGCGGTGCTGCTCGACAGCGGGTGCTCCCACCACCTGATGGGGACGAAGTCGGTCTTCGTCGACATGGGGCCGACCGACGGGGTGAAGCACGTGAGTGGGTTCAGCGGGGCATTGCAGCCTGTCGAGGGTCGCGGAACCGTCGCTCTGCAAGGGGAGGTCGGGAAGCGGGTCCTCATCCCCGACGTACTCTACGTTCCGGGCGTACAATCGAACCTGCTGTCTGCTGGCCAGCTGAAGGAGAGCAGAGTGCTGCTGAAGGGTGATGGCGACGAGATGCTACTCGTCACCGCGACCGGGGAGGTGCTTGGTCGAGCACGCTACACCGGACGAGTCCTCTGCACCGACCTTCGTCCCTGCTCGACGCATTTGCCGTCGACCGAGGTGGTGGCGCTGCGGATGATCGTCTCGGCGACGAAGACGACCCCTGCCCTGTTGCATGTGAGGCTCGCGCACGTCGGCGTCGACACGATCAAGAGCTCGGCGAAGCATGAAGTTGCTGTTGGGCTCGACATCACGCCGTCGCCCGGAGCCGACCCGCCGTGTGTCTCATGCGTCGGAGGCAAGCTGTCGTGACACACCTTCCATAACAAGGGCTCGGACGCCGAGGAGGCATTGGCTGTCGTGCACATCGACTTGTGCGGGCCATTTCGGGTGACTGCCAAGGATGGCAGCCTGTACTTCCTGCTGCTGAAGGATCGCCATACTCGGTTTGTGTGGGCAATGCCAGTCGCTAAGAAGAGCGACGTGCTGCGGGAGTTCGAGAAGTGGCTGGTGCTTGTGGAACGATAGACGAAAAAGTCGGTGCTGTCGCTTCGCTCCGATCGGGGAGGGGAGTTCCTCGGGAAGGCGTTCACCGACTTTGTCGACGGGAAGGGCATCGTCCACGACCTGACGTGCCCCTACACTCCGTAGCAGAACGGCATGGCTAAGCGGGAGATGCGTACGGTAGTCGAGTCCGTGCGGACGATGCTTCTGCACATGGGCGTGCAGCACTACTGGTGGCACCTCGCTCTTCGACAGGCTGTCTGGGTGCGCAACTGCTTGGAGCGGTCGACAACGCTGCCGGGGACGACTCCATACCAGCTGCTGACCGGGACGAAGCCCGACCTCACGCTGGTGCGGGTATGGGGCTGCATGGTGCAATTCATGGTTCCTGAGCAGCAGCGCGGTGGGAAGCTGGCGCCGAAGGCTCGCTGGGGGCTTCACCTGGGTGTGTCACTAGAGAGCAAGGGCTGGGAGGTGCTCGACCTGACCGACAACAAGGTGGTCACGTCGGTCGAGGTGATCTTCTACGAGACGCTGTTGCTTGAGGTGTGGAAGGCGAAGTATGGGCCGGCGTCGGAGCGGACGCCGGCGCACCCGCCGACGGACACCTCGACGGCAACGATTCCGTTGCTTGCCAAAGTCGACGAGCCTGCTGATGAGGATGTTGTGGAGGTTCTTCCCCCTCCCCCTGTCCTTGCTCCTCCATTCCCCGTCGCAGATCGACCTGGGTCGGCACCTGTGTCGACCACCGACGATGAGGGGAGCCTTGAGGCGTCGCCTGTGGCGCCGGTCCATGGCATCGCCGGCGGTCGACAAGGCGCCAAGCTCGTCGACCAGGATGGGAAGCCGTTGACGACAGGGGAGCCGGTCGAACAGGAGACAACAACAGCGGTGCAGCCGACAGGGGAGCAGCAGCCGGGGCGGTCGACAGGGGAGCTGTCGAAGTCAGCAGCAGACGAGCAGCCGGTCGAAGGGTCGAAGCAGCTGGTCGACGACGAGGACGTCGACGAGGTAGGGGAGCAGGAGTCCACCGACAGCGACGTGGTGGAAGTGCCGATCACGAAGCCTGAGCTGCGACGCACAGGTCGAGCTCGACGGCCACCGGAGCGGCTGAGCTTCGACGCCTGCCTACCGC